GGGTGGGGGGCTGCTAAATCGGGGGCGGGGCTCCCCTCCCCACATGACCGTTGTCGTCTGATAGACAGGGTAGTGTTGGGTATTACCAGTTGAAAACACTCAGCATGTCTGGGGTTAAATGTTTGTTTATGTTACTCACAGGAAGTCACATGTTTCTCATGTAACCGATGCTCTTTAGCTGTAGGAAGCCCGGGAATTTTCTCCCTGATCTAGGGATTTGATTGGGACTAAAGTGTCATGGTGTATTATCATTTTATGGCTTCTCTTCCCGTCTTTGTTTGATGTTCTGAAGAAGAAGTAAGAGTAGCCATAATCTCCCTCTTCTAGTTTTGTCTTTGTAGTGTAAGGATGTAGCCGATTATGCTCTGTTGTTATTTTCATCCCAGTTACCCTTCCCCATGCTAGAATTTAGGGGAGAATGGCCATTTATATTTTATATTTTAATCACACATGGACTCTCAGTCTGAATTATTTTACTCTGGCTCTGCTGGACTATCTTATCTCTGCTAAATACCATTTTTTTAAATATCTCACGATCACCCAACAGGTAGCCTGTATGCTCTTGGGTACTTGTTACACCTGTTGTAGGAGCTCCCCGCAGACCCTCCTCAGGAAAACGTGCCAACCCCTTTGGTCTTTGGCAGTCCAGTTTATGAAGGTGGGGGGGGGGAGAATGGCCATTTGACATCTGGCTTGCGCAGTTAAGGAGCATGAGCAGAGATGGTCCCGGCACGCCCGCAAACGGTCTCCTAGGAACATGCTGAGCGCCAGCCACTTGGCTGCGGGGTCATCCCAGTTATAAAGCATCCGTGTTGATGGTCCCCAGACAGTGGATCCCCCCCCCCCCCCGGGCCAGTCGGGTTTCTGCGAAGGGACCCTGGAAGAAGGTGGGCGAGGTTTCTCTCCCTGTATCGGGACAAAGTCTTAACGGTGCCCCTGGACTCAAGCCTGGCTCTGTTGCTTCAGGCCCGCCCGGCTGCCCCCAAGCTCCTTAAAGCCTTCGGAGACAGTTACTTGACATCTGATTAGCTCTGAAATGCCTTCCTCCCCATCACACTAGAGGAATGTTAGGAGAGAAGCTTTCCCTCCCACCCGGCCTTCCCCTGGTTTCACAGTTAACTTGTTTCCATTCTTTATTGTCTTGCCTTAAAAAAAAAGAGCGTTTGTTAACTCCCTGGAAGCTTCTGGCTGGCTGGCTGGCTGGCTGGGGCCGGGTTCAACCCAGAACTCCCTCCCGGATCTGCCCCACTGTTGCAGGAGAAGTGGCCCCTTTGACCAGGCCAGGACCCTTCTGAGGTCTCGGGTGCCGCTTGGCCAGTGAGGAGGAGGCTCAGAGGAGAAGAAGCAGTTCAGGCCTTCACCACTTCGCCAGTTTGGTGTCGTGGTTAAGTGCGCGGACTCTAATCTGGGAGAACCGGGTTTGATTCCCCACTCCTCCACTTGCAGCTGCTGGTGTGACCTTGGGTCAGTCATAAGTTCTCCCAGAGCCGCTCTCTCAAGGGCAGTTTCTGTCAGAGCTCTCTCAGCCCCGCCCACCTCACAGGGTGTCTGTCTTTTGTGGGGAGGGGGAGGGAAAGGAGTCTGTAAGCCGCTCTGAGACTCCGAGTGAAGGGTGGGGGGTATAAATCCAATCTCCTTCTTCACTGGATGCAAGATAATTCTCTGGTTGCACCAGGAGGTGGGAAAGGAGACTAGATTGCAGCAGGCCCGAGTAGACTGATGGCACCGTCTCTCCTTGTCTCTCTTGTGCCCCTCAGAGGAAAGTGCCTTAGAGCACCAGCCCCCCCCCCGCCCTGCCCCCCACCTGGAGGCCAGCTGGCCTCCTCTGGAGGTTCAACCAGGAGGATGGCAGAGAGTCAGGGCGGTTGGCTAGCCTCTATTTGCCAGGGCCACCTGCCACATCGCCACTGAGAACTACCAGTCCCAGAATGCCTTGTGCCTGGACAGGTGGAAGGACGGGACACCTGGTAGGAAGGAAGCCTCTTTGCAGGCCCCAAACGTATGCAGGGAAGGTGTGCGTGTCCCCCCCCCCCCTTCCCTCACACCCCCCCCCCCACACACACACGTGTCCCCCACCGTGCTGCCGTGTCTGGTGGGGGCTATAAATGCAAATCAGGCAATCCGACAGGTAAGGAGGCAGAACAAGAGCAACAAAAAAACCCACAAAGACACACAGATCTCTCCTTTGGATTTTCAGATCAGACAAGGCATAAGAGAACACAAGAGAGAAGCCAGTGTTGGATATCAGGCCAACGGCCCCTCCAGCCCAGCACTCTTCTGTGTCACACAGGGGCCAAAGATACCCGGTGCCCCCAGGAGGTCCACCCAGCAGTGGGTCCGGGAGGACACCAGAAGCCCTCCCACTGTTGCCCCCCTCCCTCAAGCAACAAGAAGACAGAGCATCACTTAACCCCAGACTGAGAGTTCCTGTCCATACCTTGTGGCTAAGAGCCACTGATGGACTTCTGCTCCGTATGCTTATCCAGTTCCCTCTTGAAGCCGCCCGTGCAACCATTCACGAACGAGGGAAGCAGGTGAACGGCATCCAGGCAGATGTGATTTCCGTGCGGGGGGTGCGGCAACTGACTTTTAGTGAAGTGTGTGTGTAACCCAAGGGGGGGGGGTTGCACCCTGCCAGTGACCAGTTGGAGATCTGAGCACGCTCGAACCCTCCTCCGAACTGGCAGGCCTTCTTTAGGGTTTTGCGCTGATCTTGCACTGGAAAAGGCCAAAGAAAAATAACCCTGCAGGTTCATCGACTTCATGCTGTGCAGCCATGTCCGTTCATTACAATAATACAAATAAAATTGAGACACTGACAGGATAAGCTGTTTTTAATGACGCGGAAGTTGCAAAACCGTTAGCAAACTTGTGGGACTCTTGGGCTGGGCATTGCGAGTGAAGCAAAGGCGGTCCTTTCTCAGGAATGTAGAACATGTAACATTAACATCAGAATTAAAACAGACTTTTCTCATGGCTCGCGAGACTGCAGGTATAGGATGAAGGAGTGGGGGGGGCGACATGGTACAATGTCGTACTGCCCACCCCCCAAAAAAAATACCCCCCTGGCCCGGCCCCCCCCCCCCCCGAGGTTGCTACATCCAGAGAGCAGCTTTTTGCTGGAACAGCAAAAAAAATTAGCATCTGCTCTGTCTAAAAGAGGAAGCGCTGGGATGGGTTCCCCTCCTGACTGACCCATCTGGGGGCCAGTGGAGCAGGAGACGCCCCCCCCTCTAGAGAAAGACTTTGCTATCCAGAGGGAGGGGCAGGCACCCCCCACACACACACACACAGAATTAGAGTCCCACCCTGGGTGGCAGATCCCTCTGCACAGAGGGGACGAGAGGAAGGGGAAGGAAGTTGCCTCTCCCCACTCCCCAACCCCCCCAACCCCCCCCATCTCTGCCTCCCTTCCTGGAGCAAGCCCTGGAGCTGCACAACCCTCCACAGCGCTCTGCTGGTTTTTCTTCACAGGGGAGATGCCTCCGTCCCTGGCCAGCCGGCCAGCCCGTCCCACCCACATCGATGGTGAGGTGGGAGGACCAGCACAGCATGTTCCTGTACAATGCTAGGCCCTCCCCGGAGCCACAGAATATGGCCCACGACCAGTGTTCCCTCTAAGCTGAGTCAGTGTGAGCTAGCCCAGTTTTTTAGCCCCCGGCTCACACATTTTTGTCTGAGCTCAGGAAGGATGGGGCTCCAGAGGAAACTGATTTTATGCAGGAGCCAAATGGCCCACTCACAACTTTAAGGCCAGCAGCTCACAAAGTAGAATTTTGCTCACAAGACTCCGCAGCTTAGAGGGAGCCTTGCGCCATGGTGGCAGGCGTTCTCAGGCCCCCTTCCCATGGCATGGTGGGGGGGGGTCTTGCTAGCAGAAGTTGGGGGTGGAGGGGGCGCTGCACTGACCCCACCGCCTCCGGGAAGGAAATGCTGGTGCAAAAGACGGGCTGCCCCTTTGTCTCCCCCCCCCCTCGCACGCAGCGTTCCTCTTTTGGAGGGATTGGAGAAGCTGCAACCTCTTTGCTCTTCCTGACCCCACCAGCACTGAAGGAGCTCTTGGCGCCCACTTGCTGGGCCTCTCCACACAGTCTAAGGCCGCTTGCTGTAGTCCAGCTGAAGCAGCAGTAGTTTCTCTCCCCGCCCCCCCCGCCACCTGGTGGTGCTGAGGACGCCTGCAGGAAATGACACCCACACCCACACACCCACACACACACACAGCAGCGCTCCACAAGGCAGATCTGAAGCAGGGGCTGGTTAGAGAACCTTTACTGAAAAGAGCCTGTGCAGGAGACAGACTGTGGGCAGCTACGAAGTGCAGGGATGGCGCGGGGGGGGGGCGGGGGGGGGGGGAGGAGGCAGAGTCTTAAGATGTGGGTCAGGCCCCACTCTGAGCATTGGGGGCTTCCCCCCCCCCCATCGCAGAACAAAAGTGGGGACTCCAGTCCGGGGAGCGATTTCCCAGGAATCCCCCTCGGGAGCCAGCAGCAGGGAGGCGCCGTGGCTCTCACACCGTTGTGCTGGTGCTGCGGTCCTCGGTGGTGCAGGTGGCATGTCCACGGCCGTCTGTGGCAGAGGTCAGCGTGGCCTCCTCGCTCAAGACATTGCGCAGGATGGCCCGCAGCGACAGCCTGACCTTGGCCCGGAAGTCTTGGCCCGCAATGACGTAGATGACGGGGTTTATGCAGCTGTTGAGGTAGGCCAGGCCCACGACGAGGGGGTCGGCGTTGTTAAGAGCCTTGAACAGCTCACTGCTGGGGGGCTCCGAGGCCAGGATCAGGCCCACCGCGTGGAAGGGGGCCCAGCAGACAAAGAACCCCACGATGACCACCAGCACCACCACGAGGGTCTTCTGGGAGCGCATGAAGCGGCTGCTGCGCACCCGGCAGAGCAGGAGCCCGTAGCAGAGGCTGATGACCACGAGGGGGGCGAGGAAGGCCAGAGCAAACCGCATGGCGGCCACCGAGACCTCAGCGGCACGGTGGTCCTCGTTCAGGCGGGAGTAGTTGACCCCACACATCGTCTTGCCCGACAGGGGGTCGTGTCTGAGGGTCCTGACTAAGAAGGACGGCAGCGTGAGGAGCGTGGCTACCGCCCAGGCCACGGCACACAAGGCCAGGGCCAGGGGCGTGGAGCGGTGGTTCTGGCACCACACCGGCTTGACCACCAGGGCACAGCGGTCCACGCTGATGACCACCAGCAGCAGGACACTGGCAAACATGTTCAAGATGATGAGGGAGGGCAAGAGCTTGCAAGCAAAGTCGCCCAGCCCCCAGTGGTGGTCCGACGCCAGCGGCACAGCCAGGAAGGGCAGGGCCAGGCAGCAGAGGAGGTCTGCCACGGAGAGGTTGAGGAACCAGACGGTGTTCACCGTGTGCCGCATCTGGAAGCCCATCACCACGATGACCGCCACGTTGCCCAGAATGCCCAGCAGGGAAATCAGGGCGTAGAGGACCAGGGCCGTCCAGACGATGGGGCTGAAATGGTGCACCTCTGCCCACTCCGGGACGACGTCTGACGCCGTGAAGTTGGGGTAGTCGTAAATCTCATAGCTGCTATTGGTAGACTCCTCCATCCCTGAGCCGTGCTGAGTTCTGAAGAAGAGAATAAACCAAGAGAGGGCGTCAGTGGGTCCCAGAGCAGCGGCCCTCAAACTGGGGTCCAGCCCTGTAAGCTGAGTCGGTGTGAGCCAGCTCACAGGTTTTTAGCCTCCGGCCCACACATTTTTTGTCCTAGCTCAGGAAGGAGGGCTCCAAAGCAAACTGATTTATGCAGTAGCCAAATCACCTGCTCACAACTTTAATGCCAGCAGCTCACAAAGTAGAATTTTTGCTCACGAGACTCCACAGCTTAGAGGGAGTAGTGGTCGCAGTGCTCTCTCTCTCCCTCTCTCTCCCTCCCTCTCTCTCTCTCCCTCTCTCTCCCTCCCTCTCTCCCTCCCTCTCTCTCTCTCTCTCCCTCTCTCTGCAAGGCCAGGAAGGGGGAGGAGGATGTTGTTGGGTGTTACAAGTTAAAACACTTTCAGTATTTACAGGGTTAATGATGTTTGTTAAGTCACATGTTTGTTTGTAACCAATCTGTTTAGACAATAGGATGCCCGGGAACTTTGGAGCTAATTTGCTACTCGGATTGGAAACCAAGGTGTCAAGTATTTAGCATATTGGCTTCTCCTCCCGTTCTTGGTTCTGACTGAGAAGGAGACGCCATTCGTCTCTTCCCGTTTTACCTTTTAGCTGCAAGGATGTAGGCATATTAGCTCTTTGTTATTTTATATTATTTTAGAGAGCCAGTTTGGTGTAGTGGTTAAGTGCGCAGACTCTAATCTGGGAGGATCGGGTTTGATTCCCCACTCCTCCACTTGCACCTGCTGATGTGACCTTGGGTCAGTCACAAGCTCTGGCACAGCTGTCCTTGAAAAAGAGCAGTTTGTGTCAGAGCTCTCTCAGCCCCATCCACCTCACAGGGTGTCTGTTGTGGGGAGGGGAAGGGAGAGGAGTTTGTAAGCCGCTCTGAGACTCCAAGTGAAGGGCGGGGTATTCTTCTTCTTCTTCTTCCTCTTCTTCCTCTTCTTCTTCCTCTTCTTCTTCCTCTTCCTCTTCTTCCTCTTCCTCCTCTTCCTCCTCTTCCTCTTCCTGTATACCTTTTTCCCATGTTAGGTTTATAGTAAACTTTTATATTTTAAAACACACCATGGACTCAGTCTCTTAATACTCTGCTGACTTACTCAATAAGAATCCCAACAAAGGTTATGGAGCCCAGATCCGCTCCTATCTGCGCAGAGCTGACCATGTGTGTATGAGATTATGTGCTGGGAGAGGGGCCCAGGAAGGCCAGGTAGGAAACAGGCCCCACATGCCTGCCAAAGGGTCATGCCAGACAGTCTGTCAGCTACTTTGATAGTGCTGCAGATGGATCGATACTAAACATGGACGTGTTCAGTCTTCACGTGATGTGCGATCCCTGCGTTTTATGCACGGGGTGGGGGTGGGGGGATGGAGTAGCAGGGCCCAAAGAGTACAGTCCATTTCACTGCCGGTCCCCCTTCCAAAAGTTCCACAGAGTTCTCAGGTCAAAGTTCGAGTCCAGCAGCACCTTTAGGACCAATGAAGTTTTATTCCGAGTATAAACGTTCATGTGCATGCGTGCTTCCTCAGAATGAAGTGTGTGTGTGTGTGTGTGTGTGTGTGTGCGCAAACCCAGACTTCCGCTTTGTTGGCCTTCAGGGGGCCACTCTTGCTCAGACCCACGTGGCCACCCACCTGACTCCACCTGGGGTTCTCAGGTGTTACGTAATCTGGGGGAGGGCAGAGTGCCGTTCCAGTTGACTGCCCCTTCCCTCAACTCCCTCTGTGACCCAGGGCACTTTTTTTATCCCTGGCTCTCCCTTGCCCATGGACCCTCAACAACCCAGCGAGAGAGGTCCGGCTGGCAGGGAGCGGTGAACCCCAAGGGCACGCAGCCAGCCTCATGGCAGCGTGTGTGGGGGGGTGGGGTGGGGACTTGAACCCAGAGACCGGCCCGTCCCTCAGCCAGCACTCCCTGCCCCACACTGGAGAAGCAGCACTTGGACTCTGTCATCAGATTCCTTGCTGGTCGTGCATGTTTTCCTACCGTTATAAACCCATGCCAGCTTCAACTATTGGCAAACTGATTGTGCAAGGCTTGGCTTTTCTTTTCAACAGTTACGGAAATACTGGATGTATTGCCTTTCAATACAGATTAAGAGCTAACTTTGGCCTTCTAGTCTTGCTTTAGAAAAGATAATGAGCGCATCTTAGATGTATTCTTAGAGGAGGATGCTCGATTATCTCATCAGTAGCCGAGAACCAATCATTTACCTATATGATGGTCATATGTTTAGCCTATGATTTAGCATAAGGTATCAGGTACGACTGCTATTTTGCTGTAAAAATGCATTAATTTGATAAGCAAAGAAGTCTCTGAATGGAACTCTCCAAAGACCTTAGGTGAGATTTCTGTGTGTGTCAGAGAGAGGGAGAGAGAGAGAGAGAGAAAGACTGACTGACTGACTGACTGACTGACTGGGGTATTTAGAAAAAATTCTAAAAGTAGTGTAAGACAATAACCTGAAAAGTGGCTTGCTCCAAATTTTATTCATGACAATAGGGTTGAGAAATGATAGGAGCGTTGATAATTCCGGCTATAGGGTTTAATTTTCACACGTTTGTATTTCCTAATGCCTTGCCTGATACGGAGAAGGGTTTGTTTTTTCTTCTTTGGCATTTCTCATTCCGTGCCTGCGTGCGTGTGTGTGGGAGCCATGGCGACCTCCGGCCACTCCTCCTCCCGGGGCAGGGAGGGCGGTTAGAGCCCTGGCCTGGCTTCACCTGCCCCTCTGCCTCCCGGCCCGGGTATTCCTTGGAGGGCTCCCACGGCCCGCGGTCTGTTTCTCGGCGGAAGATGACCCTGCTGTCCTGTCCGGGCCGCTGGCCTGAGAGTGGCAAGAGAGGCGTCTTCGGGCCAGGACAGGACCTGCGCGGTGGTGGTGGTGGCCCAGCGCCAGCCAGCGTCCCTCTGATGGGAGCTCCTCCCTGCGGGCCCGAGGAGGACCACCGGAGGCGGGGTGTCCCGGGGGGAGGAGAGGAACCCTTCGGTGGTCCCGGCCCCCCTCTGGGATGCGGGGGGGGGAGTGACACACACGTCCCGGGGCGCCTGAAGCCCCGCCCCGCCCCGCAGGACTCCCCGGCGAAGGCGGCGGCTCCCTGGGCGGCCGGGCGCGGAGTCTCTGCCCCTGCTTGGGGGGGGGGGGGGGGGGGGGGGGGGG